TGATCAGAACGACGATTCATGTATCAAGAAAATCCTTTATAGTCTCAAAATACTTGGGCCTTGGCAAAACCCTCTCACACGCTACCTCATTTACTTATCCAAACCACTCTATGGTGTAGGGATTATCTTCATTTTAAAAACAAGAAAATTCTATTCAGAGGGATTCAGAGTCTTGCTTCAAGTCATGGGACTCTCACGTGAACCTCCTCACTCTAAACCTGAGGGCTCTCCCCACCAGGCAACACGGCCGGGCACATAGCTGCATTTCGGTTGATAATCAAAACCTGGTAAGAGACTCAGCGACTTGCAGAGCCAAACAGGAAGCGTGGGGTCAGGCCATGCTTTAACCCCAGGCCTGGGGGCAGCCTTGCTGATGCTGCTCCGAGAATCTTCCGTTTGCAGCTGTCAGGGTCCTTGCTGGGCCTTCCTTCCATACCAGGAGGAGATGATGCTAAAACAGTTAACAAAGGAAGCTTCTGGAGGCGAGGTAACATCGCAAGAAGAATGTGAGGAAGGCAGTATGGAACCAGGCCCGAGGGATGCAGAAGGGCAGAGGGCCGTGAGGCGGGCTGGTGATGGCCTCGGCATCCACCCAGCCCACGCGATCCCGTAAATCGACCTCTAGATGTCTGTCCAAGTTCCTGCCTTTGCAGCTGATGTTTCCTCCAAGAGTTCTGAGCACAGAGGTGATAATAAAGCCTCACACGAGGAATGAAACGACCCAAATCTCCCCTGAGTTGGCATCAGGGGCTCAGCAGATCTAAAGGGATTTCTGCAACTGAGTCTTACTAGCGAGTCTCACTGGGCTGGTTTATAGGAGAAGCACAAAGCCTGGGATTCCAGCCTGGATTTAATGACTTGTTCACATGTCTGCCTCCCCCACTGAATTGGAAGGACAACACTGAGCCTTATTCAGATTAATAGAAGAATTTAATCAACATATTAAATTGAACAAACTAGACCTGGCTCTACCTCAGTATGACTTTAGACAGACTCCTGAATGTCTCCATGCCTTAGCTCCTTCAGTTTTCAAATGGGAATGAAACTATCTGCCCCACTGACCTCATCTGTTATGGGGACCAGATAAGTAATGAGCAGTAATTTTTAAAAAGATTTATTTATTTATTTTAGAGAGAGAGAGGGGAGAAGGGCAGAGGGAGAGGGAGAAAAAATCTTAAGCCAACTCCACCCTAAGCCTGATGCAGGTGTCGATCTCACGACCCTGAGACCACTACCTGAGCCGAAACCAAGAGTTGGGACACCTAATGGACTGAGCCACCCAGGCGCCCCTACATGTGAGCAGTATTAATGCTTTCTAGTCCCACAGAAATACAAAGGATTAATTTGAGCACTTATAAAACAACTTGCAGGTGACCCTGGGTTGGATATATCATATACGTGGAAAATTTCCCCCCCGTTATTTTTCTGTCAAAACTTTCACAGTAGACCCTCTTAGGGAGTATTTTCTGCCTCACTGATTCGACCAGCTGACAGGTAGTAGCAGGCCAGTGAAGGGAAGTTTTCTCTGGGACAGCGAGAGCCTGCTAGGTGTTCCTCCGTCAGTCTAGGTGGGGCTGTCAGACAAGGTAAAAAGCACAGGAAGAGCCGTGCGCCTTCAGGAATCCCAGTGTTCTTCCTGTTGACCATGGGCTTATTTCAACAAAAGACTGGGAAAGGGAACATAGCTATCATTAAAAAAAAAAAAAAAAAAGGCAAAAAACCAGCACTAGGAAATTTCATTTTTAAGGAACTTATAGGCATTTGCGATTTTTCTCCTCTACATGTGGGTAGCTGCCCCTGTCATGGGACCAGCCAGTCCCTGGGCCTTCCCTGAGCAACCTGAGGGAGGGCTGGGATCTCTCCGCTATAGCTCTTCTGCACACAAGGGCCCTGTGGCCCAGAGGGTCCTGTTCAAGTATCAGGTGCTCTGTGGGAAACCACACACAACAGGTCTCCCTGAGACCCGCCAACACCTGGACCAGGTGAGCACATCAGCTCTCCATCTGGAAGCCATGGTTGGGTGAGAGGGAGCTCTGCTGGGGTGGAAAGGCCGGGGCAGCAGAGAGCCCAGGGGCATGGAGGCTCACTGATAGGGTGAAAATAAACATCACTCTTTCTTTTTTTTTTTTTTTTCCAAAGATCTTATTTATTTGAGAGAGAGAGAGAGAATGAAAGAGAGAAAGCATGAGGGGGGGAGGGTCAGAGGGAGAAGCAGACTCCCTGCCGAGCAGGGAGCCCCATGTGGGACTCGATCCCGGGACTCCAGGATCATGACCTGAGCCGAAGGCAGTCACTTAACCAACTGAGCCACCCAGGCGCCCAACATCGCTCTTTCTTGTATTCCAACACAGACCCAGTTTTCCCATTTAGTTTCTTGTCACTTACTGTTACCATCGTATGGACCTCTCTCCCTCCCTCCCTCCTTCCTCCAACAAGGAACACCTCCTCCGTTCCAGGTCCTTGTACAGCACTAAACTGGTTACCAAGATAACTGCAAAGACCTCAGTCTCCTCGGCGACAGGTAATCCTACTATGGGATACCTTGTCTTATTGCTTTATTGTGCTTCCCAGATACCATGCTTTTTTTTTTTTTAATTGAAGGCTTGTGGCAACTCCGTGTCAAGCAAGTCTACAGGCATCATTTTTCCAACAGCATTTGCGCAGTGTCTCTCTTGGTGTCACATTTTGGTGATTCTCATGACAGTTCGACTTTTTCATCATTATTATATTTGTTATAGTGATCTGTGATCTTTGATGTTACCATACCAATTGTTTTGGAGCACCATGAACCATGCCCATATAAGACACATGCAATAAATATATTATTATATATAACAATAAATAAATATTGTGTGTGTTGACTGCTCCACCAACTGGCCATTCACCACCACCCCCTCCTTGGGTCTCCCTGTTCCCTGAGACATGATATTGAAATTAGGCCAATTAATACCCCTCCAATAGCCTCTGTATGTTCAGGTGAAAGGAAGAGTCGCCTGTCTCTCACTTTAAATCAAAAGCTATAAATGATTAAGCTGAGTGAGGAAGGCATGTTGAAGCTGAGAGGTTGAAAAAGATAGGCCTCTTGAACCAAACAGTGAGCCAAAGCTCTTGAAGGGGGTTACAAGTGTTATTCTAGTGAACACACAAATGATTAGAAAGTGAATCAGCCTTACTGCTCATATGCAGAACGTTTAGGTGGTCTGGATAGAAGATCAAACAGCCATGACATTCCCTTAAGCCAAAGCCTAACCTAACTTATGGAGTTATCCATAAGATCCAGCCAAGATAATTAATGAAGATGGCTACACTGAACATCAGGTTTTCAATACAGACAAAATAACGTTATAGTGGAAGAAGATGCCATCTAGAACTTTCATAGCTAGAGAACAGAAGTCAATGCCTGGCTTGAAACCTTTAAAGGACAGGCTGACTCTCGGCACTAATGCAGCTGGTAACTTTAAGTTCTGACCTACTACTTAGAAAAAAAAGATTCCTTTCAAAACATTACTGCTTACTGATAATGGACCTGGGCACCCAAGAACTCTGGTGGAGATGGACAACGAGATTAATCTTGTTTCCATGACCGCTAACACAACATCCATTCTAAGCCCATGGATCACAAAGTAATTTCCACTTTCAAGTCTTATTATTGAAGAAATACATTTCATTGGGCGATAGCTGCCACAGAGCATGATTCCTTTGATGGATCTGGGTAAACTAAACCAAAAACCTTCTGGAAAGGATTCACCTTTCTATTTCATCTACTCTAGATGCCATTAGGAACATTTGTGATTCATGGGAAGAGGTCAAAATATCAACTTTCACAGGGGTTTGGAAGAAGTTGGGTGACTTTGAGGGGTTCAAGACTTCAGGGGAGCAAGTCGCTGCAGATGGGCAGGAAAGAGCAGGAGAACTAGAATCAGGAGTGGAGCCTGAAGACGGGACTGATGGGCTGCAATCTCATGATGAAACCTGAACAGATGTGCAAAGAAAGTGGTTCCTGAGATGGAATGTACTCCTGGTGAAGATGCCATGAAGATGGTTGAAATGACAACGAAGGATTTAGAATATTCCAGAAACTGAGTTGATAAATCTGCAGCAGGGTTTGAGAGGACTGACTCTAATTCTGGAAGTTCTCCCATGGCTCCAATGCTATCAAATAGCATCACATGCTACAGAGAAATCCTCCGTGAAAGGAAGAGTCCATTGATGAGGCAAACTCATTGCTGTCTTATTTAAGAAACTGCCACGGCCACCCCAACCTTCAGCGCCCACCACCCTGACCAGTCAGCAGCCACCACCATGGAGGAAGACCCTCCAGCAGCAAAAAGATTATGACTCGCTGAAAGCCGAGATGACAGTTAGCATTTTTTAGCAATAAAGTATTTTTAAATTAAGAAAAGTATATATTTTTCTTTCGACATAATGCTGTATACACTTCATAGACGATAGTATCATGTAAACGTAACTTCTATATACACTGGGAAGCCAAAACATTCACTGGACTCTCTTGATCACGATACCGGCTTTATGGCAGTGGTTTGGAACCAAGCCCGCAGCACCTCTGAGCTGGGCCTGTACTATGTGATGAATGCTCTGCTGGCCGTGTCGGCACACTGGGAGGAGAAGTCGACCTGCTCACCTGGAGTAGGGCACAGGTGTAATGGTGTCCTGAAGGCCAGTTGCACCCGTTAGCAAGAGCTCACTATTCTAGTGTCATGAATTTTAGGAGCTGGTTGATTTTATATGGGTAGCTTGAGATCAGCCACAGTGCGCACATTTAGACCACAGAAATCAGCAAACATCACAAATCAGGTTTTCTCAGAGCTGGTCATTAAACATTTATGGGCATGCGTGTGCACGCCAACGTGTGTGTGCACGCGCGTGTGCATGCAGACAAGTGTGCATGTGCAGAGTCGCTAAAAATCACAAGGAAATGGCCTAGCGACAGGCAGACCTGGTACTCCCTGCAGAAGGACACGCGGTCTCGGCACACTCACCAGTCTGAGGTTCTTCATCGCCTGGGGGAACATGCCTTGGTGCAACTGTAGTTTGCCCACTTTCATTACCTGCACCCCTCTGACAGGATGGCTTCCAGGGAAAAAAATCCTGGAAGAAACCAAAGGGCAAACAGGGTCAGCAGGTCTCACCTTTGCAGTCGGCATTCCATCAGGAGACCATGAAAGGGGTGGGCAGACCCCATTCACCCCTATCGAGAGGAAGCTAGCTGGGCGGTCAGGATGGGTCGGCATCCTGTGTTAGGAAAGAAATGACAGGACTGGAAAGTCTCTCTAATCAACACGAGAGAAAGGAGACAAGGTTGGACCTCTGCGTTTCTCTCTGGGGGTGGGTTGGAGAGACCAGTTGATGAGCTTATACTCCAGCCTCGCCTGTGAGGCTCCAGCACTTAGAACAGCCTTTGAACAGAAGATGGCCGCTCAATACATATTGAGTCGATGAATGAAGTGTTCGCGACTCCCCACAGAAATACTACCATGCCCTCCTTTTAACTGCCAAGCCCTTGGAGTTCATCATGGCCCATCTTTCGTACGGGACCTGTGTATTTACTTATCATCTCACTGGATTACGGAGCTTTTATTCCGGCCCCCCATCTGTGTTTGCCATGATGTCCTGCGTGCAGGAGAAGCTCAATATAAGCTTGACCTCTTTCCCACGTATCAGAATAGAAGAGGGTGTTGTAAGGAGAGCAAAGAATGAAAATGAAGGGCTATGCTCCAAACCTGATATAACTTGCATGTGATTCAACAAGAATTTATTATATCAGAGTCAATAAAATGTGTACAGTTTGGCTGCTTCTATCCCCCGCAACATCTATCCTTAGAGTCTACCGAACTCCTCCTGTATGTACAGGATTGTTCCTGGGGCTCGGGGCTGTTTAGCTATAAGTTTTCCCCTCAAGGCCCAATAATCCCACCAGACACAAGACAAACATTCATACCACAGTTACAAAATATGACAGGAGAGGGCATGATTTTGTGCCCAAATGAGGCCTACCTTAGTACATGGTAATGCTCAGTTCAAGGGGATTGAATTACATTGAGAGAATAACGCAAGAGTTATGAAAGAGAGAGAGGTGCCTGGTGGTTGGTTGGAGCAGGAAGGTTTCCTGGAGGAAGGAAACAGGATATAAACTGGCTCTCAAGGGTTTGGGCAAGCCTGGCTGGAGGGGAAGAGGGAAGCACATTTACACTGGTAACATGAGCAAGGGCACACTCCAAATGCTGCTGGTCCAGAGACCACAGGTTCTGCCCTAAGAATCATGACTCACATAGGGCTCGCTATGTGCCAAGCTCTGCTCTGACCACTTCTCACTTGTGAACTCATGGAACCACATTTAAGCTCTACTGTGTAACAGAGGAGGCAGATCTACCAGGAGACACATATTCTCTGGTAAGTGGACACACGTCTCCTCACCATTTCTTCTGCCTGAACCTCAACTCTTCCCCACACGAAATGTGATACATAGAAACTCCTTTCATTCGTGCTCTTCAAAAAGTGGAAAGCAGTCCTTGAGAGGGAGGTATTTCAATCGATAGAAGGTCGGCCATGCTTCTTTGAAAGAACTGCGAAGGGAGGGGGAGGGGAGAAACAAAGGCGACACCTGGGTCTTGGATTTTTCTTCATCGCTTGAGTAGGCCAGGAGATCAATCACTTCACCCCTCACCCCCGACAAAATGAACATCATTATCTACTTGTGTGGAAGAGATTTTAAGATCTGCAGACAAAAGGCTTAAGTACAGGACACCATTATCAGGAGGTAATTGCCCCAGACACTTTCCCTGAAAAGCACACCTGGATTTGGGATTTGATTTTATTGCTATGAATGTGGAATAATTAAATTTAAAGGCAAAAAGGAATTTTATACTAAAAATCATACCACTAAATGGATGTCTGTCATGCCAGTTAACAGAAGGAAAGAAAAATCCTCGGTGCCATGCCAGGAGAGAAAGTGGCACATAATTATGCCCTGACAGGTACCTGCTCTTGTTGCTTAAAGATACTAAACAAAAACAAAGTGAAGTTCAGTCAGGAGAGGATGAGCGGAATGTGTCTGCGAGGGGGACTTGCACATAAATATTTACGGAGCAGTGTCGTGGCTCCAGCAAGCACTGACCGTATGCCTGGATTGTTTCTGGAAGCCTCCCAGCTGCCATCTGGAATAACAATCACGATTACTTGCTGGAGTCGCACCAAGAGCAACACCAGCGAAGCTCACTCCTGCTGGGAGAAGGTCCCCAGCAAGGGCACGTGGGTGACTGCGATGAGGACAGAGGAGGGCCTGCCGGCTGTCTTCAATCATGGCACTGCCAAAAATGAAGGCCAGCAAAGAGTCTGACCCAGGAACGGCCTCAGGGGGGACTAGGAGTGTGGGGACCAAGGTAGGAGTCTGAGTGGGAAGGGGAGGGCGTAGGGGAGCCTATGAGATGCTGTGTTCTGTGCCCAGAGTGGTAAGGAATGAGAAGTCCCAGGAGAGTCCCTGCCCTGGCTGAGACACAGTCTAGTTGCAGAAGTGAGGCAGATAAAATCACGACACGGAGAGGAGTGTGAGGGCTGCCATGGCACAGATGTGGGGCTCCAGAAACAGTAGAGCCCTCGGTGACCAGGGGAGGGTTCCCGGAGCCACATAACTTGAACTGGTCCAGACCGGAAGGGGCCATGGGCTCCTGGAACAGTTGTTGGGGCATTATAAATTCCCTTTCTGTAGGTACAATGCTAGCGATCATGCGCTCCCGAACGCTGGGCCTAGGAGGGAAAAACTGCCTTTGGTGTTTCTGTGGTGAGTAAGTGCCTAGGAAGGAATGTGTTTAAACAAGCAGAGCAAAGCAGCGGCATACATACTAGCTTTAACTCAGACCCATAAGCACCAAGATTTTCCTGCCCTACTTTGCGAGGAGGCTGCAAATCCAGAAAGTGGAATGCCTCAAGCTCAAAGGCTATTGAAGTCCTGGTGGCAGGACGTGAACTGCTGCTCCTGCTGAGGTTTCTCCACATGATGTAATTACCAATTATACCGCTTCACTACAGGTAGCAGTCTGGCACTGAAAGCAGGAAAAAAACATTGTTTGGGATGATTTTTTTTAGAACTGATGTAAAAGACATGACTGAATTTATTTTTTTATTTTTATTTTTTAAAGGTTTTATTTATTTGACAGAGAGAAAGACAGCCAGAGAGGGAACACAGCAGGGGGAGTGGGAGAGGGAGAAGCAGGCTTCCCATGGAGCAGGGAACCCAGTGGAGGGCTCGATCCCAGGACCCTGGGATCATGACTTGAGCCAAAGGCAGACGCTTAACGACTGAGCCACCCAGGCACCCCAAAGACATGACTGAATTTAAAAGAAGAGCTTAACTTTCCTCTATAAACTGTATTTCACAGTAACCAAAGAGATCAAAGAATGATGGAGAATTTTATAATGGATGGATTACGTTGTTACCATCAGAACCCACTGATCAATGTTAGCATCCTTACAGTGTAAAAATCAGACATCGTGTGCTCTCTGATGTCATACAACAGGAATTACTCTGCACTACCTATAAAGCATCCTTGCCAAAAACAAAACTGAATTTAATCAAGCCCATGCAGTTAAATTCCATTTCATAGGAAAAACAAGTGATAGAGGCTCAAATAAAAGCAACCAGCTAAACCAAGATATGGAAAATTCTACAGGACTTTGATGCAGAATTTCAACAGGTCAATGGCATGAAAACAAAAAGATGGCAGGGGAGGAGAGCACTCTACATTAAAAGAGACTCAAAAGATACCACAACCAAATGTCACATACAGACCTTGTGTATTTGACCTCAAACAAAACAATCATTAAAAGACATTTCTGGGAATTCTAGGAAATATGAACATGAAACAGCATTGTTGGCATATAAGGAAATGTCCGCATTTTTCCAAGATGCAAGCTAATGAATGGATAAAATGATGTAATGTCTGAGATTTGATTTAAATTTCCTCAGCAGAATTTGTCTTCCAGCAATGGTGGATTAGTTCGTTTCAGACCAAACTCCTTGTTAAAAACAAGAAAAGTTATGGGGCGCCTGGGTGGCTCAGTTGGTTAAGCGACTGCCTTCGGCTCAGGTCATGATCCTGGAGTCCCGGGATCGAGTCCCGCATCCGGCTCCCTGCTCTGCAGGGAGTCTGCTCCTCC